GTAGGGAAAAATTATGGTGAAAAGAATAAGAAGAATTCATGCTCCAAATATTTTTAAATAGATTTGTGGATTTGATAGCAACTCGGTTTAGAGAACAATAGTTGAATCTATACAATATAATGCTCTTTGATAGGAAAATATGCTAAAGAAGTTGACGGCACAAAATTGTTTTGCTTATTTGATATAATTCTTTTTGGTTTAGAGTCTAACTTCATTCTAAACACACGAAAAATTATGATGTTTAAATTCAGTAATAAAATACATATGTGATAATCTCAAGAAACACATAGAAATCTGGTAATTCTTATAGTCACTAAGAATATATAACTCCCTAGTTTTTATTTGATGTACTAAAAAGTTAATTTTTATACAGTTTTTTCTTTTGATCTCTTGCAAACCTTTAAGTAGTGGAGCTTGAAAGATATACAAAGATTGTAGAAGGAAAATTACATATAGTATTCAAAAAAAAAACTTTTGATTAATATTGAAGGCCGTAATAAATAAAGAGGTATAGGAGTGAAGTTGAGAGATCATTTACGTATCGATATTATATTCGTCTTCTTTTAGATTCGATATTATAAATACAAATATTTTTTTTTCAAAAAGATAATATATAAAGTCATCTAAAAGCAATAAATAAATAAAAAGAACTATCACATACCAAAGAAAAGTTATGGATACTCATATCAACTCGTCGGATATTGTTTCATTCACCAACAAAATCATTGGAATTTATAAAGATGTAAGTTTAGTATAGCTTTCCCATTACAAAATGTATCTCACGGTTTCTAATGGTATGATCCTAAATTTGTTGAAAAAAACAATTTTTAACAAAAAAAAACTTGTTTAAAAAACCAACATGAACAAAAAAATAATTTTGCTATTGTGAATGGAATGAGTCATATAAATAGCTTTGAGATCGTAACTTGTAACTACTTCCCAATATTTTAGGAAATTTGAATAAAAGAGATCGTGGATAATTGAGGTAGATAATTATGATAATTGTATTTAAATTGGCTCAAAAAACGTGATGACACATGTCATTCTGAAAATTGATGAATGACTTCTGCTTTAGTAAATAAAGATGATACGACTAATAATTTCACATACTAAATGATAAGTTACTAATTAAATATATTAAATTTTATTTCATGAAAATTTTGTTTTGTTGATGATGAATTTGTAAATAGACAGAAAAAAATTTAAAAGGTATGAAGTATCATCTCCAAGAGTTTTTTTTTTAACCTTTTCATTTGCATATAATTAAAAGTAGCAAAATTAAAAGCTTGATCTCAAAGAGTTTACTGAATCAAAACAACATCTTTTATAAAATTTTCTTTAACTATGTATACATTTCTTTCCATAAATAAATCAAGAAAATTTTTAAATAATATTATATACTAATATTTACGTTCTTCATTAAAAAATGTTTAAAAATTATTTTTTGTCACAATCAAATTTTTAGAACTTAACAAGTTTTTTAAAGAGATTTTATTATGTTCTCTGACAAAAACGTTTCAAATTTATAAATAAAAATATATGTATTCTTAAAAAAAAACTTAATTTCTAACACAAGACAATTTGAAAATAACAAAATCATTTAAGATAAATTGTATATAAATTTGTATATCTTTATATTAAATATAATTTTTTTCAAAAAAAAAATCAAAGGTTACATATTTTACATGCTAATATTTAAAAAGCTAATGTTCACCTTTTATATATTAAGAAAATCAGTTTAACATTGTCATATTATATTCAATGTTTAGTAAAAAAAACACTACGAAAAGTTCAATATGAAATTAAAAAAAAAGATCAGACTATAGAAAATCGTTCAATGAATAAAATTGATTTCTAAATTGATCTCTAAATCGTTTTTCTTTAAAAATATGGAAAAGTATAAGAGACATTAACCATAATCAAACTAGAAAACAAAAAAAGTTTGGAGAACAAAAGAAGAGGAAAACGTAGTGTACTTGGTGTATGTTGTATAAAAAATTTATTAATTTTTCTTTGTTTACGAAAAGTTGCTGACATTACTCTTATCATATTTCGATGTCGAATTCAGTTTTTATTCAAAATTCAATGTGAAGAAAATGATATTTTTTTTAGAAAAGATGATCAAATAGGGGATTCAATATTTAATGAGAGGAATCTCAACTTTTGATAATAGATTGTGCATTCCAATATATTAAACTATTATATATTTATTTGATACATTTACGTATATAAAATAATGAAATGGTTAAAATAAACTTCCAAAAATTTATATTATTAAAAAAAAATTACAATAAAATATCAACAACAATATCTCTAATAAAAATAAAAAATTATAAATACAAGCCTCTAAATAAAAAAAAGTAAAATTGTAAAAAAAAATTATAAATTACCCGCGTGTACAC